ATAACCTTTTTTTTCTTCCATAAAGCAAATCGTGACCGAGGTGGTTATTAAACAGTCCACGCACGTCGCTGTCACCTGCACGGTCGTCGCCGGTTGTTGTGCGTGTGACCCGGCGAGGTCCTGGCCGCGTCGACTGATGATGTTTCCTCTTCCGGCCGGGCCTAGCAAAGGGTCGTGGACGAAAGGTCTATAATATGTAGAGAATACGGACTCTATATATTCTGGCTTGTACACAACATAAGCACTGTGAGCGCATCCTCGTGGCTCGACAATATAATATAATATATGTCTCAGATATTAATTTTTGTCTTCTTAAAATTACTAAACAATTTTATACATTACCTACATATTATAATATTATGTCTTATTATGCTAATATTCACTAATTCTGATGCAACATAGCTGACCCGCTATGGCCGCTAACCCATTGACAGTAAAAGATATAGTATGTCGCCTAATTAGGTATGGAGTTTAAACCACGTTCGTACCTATATGCACAAGTAGCTAAACTTTTGATTCGCTTAGGACGGCTACCACATAGGTTTTGATGACATCCGCATGTGCGTGTACAACGTCCATTTATTGCATGATTTTTTTTGAATTTCCCTATGTAGCGCAAAAAATTGAATAAAATAAAATTGTTCATAGAAAACAGTGTCTTATCAGTAGGTAGCAATAATTATGCTGCATCATGCATTGAAGGGATATAATTATAATACACCTGGAATGTATTATGTGAGAGTAGGTATATTCGGTATCCGTATCTCCATTATAGTTGCTGCACTGCACGTTGCTTTATTTTGTGTAGATAATATTATATTATGTGTTCGGTCCAATCAAGGATATTACCGTATTTATACAGATAATAATTACAGCAGTGTCTGGATCCAGAGTAATGTCAATGCCACGAGAATCATATAACTACACATTTCAGTAGTCAATAAATAACCGTATAAAAATGCGCTCTCGGCCGTCTTATCAGAATATATTCCAACTGATCCGCACGTGCGACTGCCTGTTATCATATAACATACATATAATAATAATATACACTGCATATCAATAGATTATAGGTGTTAACATGTGATAGTATGTCCGCCTTATATTTTTCGAGGTCATAAAAATACTAGATAATATTTTACTTATACATAATACAATTATTATTGAAATGGACAACTCAAATTTAGCCGTTTCCAATATACGTACTATAATATTATAACGTGTGAACGACAAAACGTTTACAAAATAGAGTGAGGTCCAATTTTTTTTCTTATTTAAAAAAAAACCATCACTTGGTTTACCTAACTTATTATAGCCTATAAAAGACATGCGTTTTTCACCCACAATGCCAGCTGTGGATGGTTTGAAGTGCGTACAAATTTGGAATTCGGTTAGTCGCGTAAAATACATATTTTTTTTAATGATTAATACTTTTCACGTTTTTTTCTGCATTATTATTTAATTGTTATATTTCATTTTAATCAGCCGTGTTTCATTGATGATTTCACAGTGCTATATTATAATAATTGGCTTCGTATATGTATCGCATAATTGAGTAAGTGCATAATTTATAGTGTATTTTATTTTCGTTTGTAAATCGCACTTTTATTCATTTTACCTTACACGTTCGGATGTAAGAGATTTGGAACGGACTTTGGGACCGGGTATCAGTTATGACAATGTGATTTATGACGAAATTTCTAAATAATGTATTTGATTGCTTTCCTCGGCATATCTACAAATCAATAGAACGCGATAAAAAATTACACGTGATATATATTATTCATTAATACCTTTAATATGAGATTTTAAGCCTATACTACTGTTTATTTCCCACAGTTGATATTATGCGAAATAGATAATATTAGAGTACAGACTATTTTGTTTTATAATTATTTATTTTTAGTAATATCAAGTGACACCTATAAACTATCCTAACTTTTTTTTTTTAATTTTAAATACTTTTTTTTAGGCTTAAAGATTACTTAGTTTAGCAGTTTAATTATTATACGTACACAAAAAGCTAATGCCACTATTTATAAAATTACACGATACAATTTTATTTTCAAAATGTTTATGCACTGTAACTATATTGCAGCATACCTTCCTCTTGTTTGGTTCACAATGTTCGAAAGATATTTTAATAATTAATATTGTATCGGTTTGCACTTATATGAGCTGCTAAACATTATATGAATTGAACTCAGAAATAAATGTTATTATAATTTAAAATATAATGCATAATCATCAAACTTACCTACTGCACTCGGCTATTAAAGTCACCGGAATATTGTAAAAAAAAAAAAAATTTATCATTGAAATCATCTTAAAATCTAATAACACCTAGTCCGTAGAACCCTATTCATTCGACCGTACGATATACTCCACTTATACCACGGGCTAAGTACGGTCTTCTGATTCCCGGAAATCCACAGCCTTTCTTTGCATAATCCATTGTATTCGAAGAAGAGGCAGAAGCCGCATCTTCCTTAAACATAATATCGGTAATTATAATTATTTTCAATTGTTGCGCAGTACATAGTACATACACTTTCATAATCAATAGGATGACTACAGGTACACCTGGTACATTTTTCCTACACAGATAGATAGATAAAGCATTCCTACGGATAATATAGTAAAATATAGTTAAATACTACCTGTTTTAAAATTGACATGTACCAAAAATGAACAAAATAATTTGTTTAGAGAAGTCAGCATAATGTCTTTAATAATTAGATATAACTTACAACCGTTTACCATTTGACATTTCGTATAAGAAAATCAAATAAAATGTAACCAGCAAAAGTACAAACTTCTTCACTTGTACTTAAACCGTCACAAAGACTTTCTATAGTAATAATAATTACTTAGTAATTATTATTTTAAAACGTTTTTTTTATATACCTACCATTGGAACCCTATAAAATTATGGATTTCTAATATAACATAAAATAAATCATATATATTAATAACATAATACACTACATCAATGAAATATAACAAATGTAATTGGATATTTTTTAATCTTCTTCAATAAGTTTTTTTTAATGGTTTCTTATAAAACCATAATTTAGCGAATGGTCCAAATGATTGTAAAAGACTATTCAATTTATCAATAATTGTTTGTGCAACCTGGCATTGAAATCATAATTATGATTCATAGCAGCCGTAACTTTCTCTTCTTCTTCTTTCTTTTGGGCTTTTACAGGCCTTTAAGGCCCATCGCCACAACAACATATTGTCTCCATCCCTCTCTATCTTCGCAGATTCTTCTGCGCTCCTTAAATTCAGAAGTTTCAAGGCTTCCTGTATTCTATCTATCCATCTTTGTCTAGGCCATCCTCTAGATCTCTTAGTATTGGGTTTCCATTTAGTTATTAATCCAATTATTCCTTCTGATCTCCATACGTGCCCTGTCCAACTTATCCTCGTACTTTTTAGGGTCCCAATAATGGAAGGTTCTTTATAAAGATTATCCAACTCTTCGTTGTTTCTTATTTCAGCCGTAACTTAAATTAAAAAATATAAAACATCCACTTAAACTGAATTTGTAGGAATTTGATTTCGTCACAATAATCGTCACGATTAACTAATTAGTAAACAAATCAAGGCTTCATTTTATTAATTTAAACTATAATAATATTATTATTATGATACAAAATAGTTATTTAGTATTCACCACAATGCTAGCGTTATAGTACGTTATAACTATATATTATATATCTGTATACTTAGTCTATAAAGTATAGATAGATATATCAAGTTATAGACTGATATAGTACCTACTACCTAGATAGATAAAATCTAAAAGCCAAACTCTAAAGATTCCGGGTGTAAGCCAGAGCCAAAAAACTGTTTTATAAAATATCTTGTAGATTTAAGGCCTGAAAAATTAACTGAAAATATACCTCTACTGTTTAAAATATAATATTTAAGAATACAAATTTGTCACATTTACAACTCTACGATTAAAACTCTTCTTACACACAAAGACATATTTAATTGTATTTTTTACTTAGAATTACATTTTAATATATATATTTTTTTATAGAATTATAATTTATAATAATATACATTAGGGCGATCCTAATATACATTTTTAGAAAATTTTAAGTACGGAACCCTGCTAATTTATTGTTATTTTTACATTTTCCCGTGAGAATAATTATTTATAACTAATAGAGTTTGTAATTCTTAAAATATAATGAGTTAATTTCGTTCTAATTAATCTTTTTAGTAAAAATAAGATGTATTATAAAAATTATTCCTGTATATTTCGAATATACCGAAGAAAACTTTGTGCTCAAAATGGATTTAAGGGATTCATATAAAAATAAAGTGTTCTTAGTCATTCGGTACTAATTTGCAAAGCACAAAATAATGTCAATTATAATGGCTACCTACTTTTCAAAATTGAAATTTCTAAAATTTTAGATTTAGCTTAAAACATCATTTATAAAAAAAAAAAATAAGTTTGTAAAAAAATTCGAAATGTTTATAAATATGTACATTTTTCAATTGTTCTTCCCTACGGACTGCACGCTTTCTATTGAAATTTTTATTTATTCTCACCGGGAACTATTATCATATTTTTCTTGTAAATCATTTATTTATTTTTTCTGGAAATTAGAAGTCTTACCATGGGATTTTAGCTTCTTTTTTGTTTTACAGCTAAACCGCAAAATTTACCTACATACCTTTTATTGACAGACTCCGGAAGGATAATATTGAAAACAGTCCCGTCCGGCTGTGGACTGGCGCGCAACACTAGCGCGGCTAGCGGCGCACGAAGGAGTGCAGGTAAGTATAGAAGATAAAAAAAAAAAATAATAATAATAATAGAAATAATAATAATATATATAAATAAAAAACAGCAACACGCATAGGTGCCGCCGGTTATCCTCTTTGGCCGCCACCGCCGCCGCCGTTGCCGTTGCCGCCGTCCTGCGCACACACCGCCGGATCGGCCGAAACCGATTCAGTACGCCATAACCCGTCCGGTTGTTCTCGTCGTCGGCGCGCGCGCATTCACTCATTCGGTCGTTCGCGTCAGACGTTCCGTTTTTGTTTTTTTGTTATTATTTAAATCGATTTAATATTTCCCGTCTATTACCGTGCGTGCTTAACCCGGCTACTTGAGACTGTGTGTAACAGTAAAATTCTCACTCGGACGACGGTTCGCGCCCCCAAAGTCGGTATCTATTATTATTATCGGCAAACAAATTACCGGCGGCGGTCGTCCGGTCAGCAGGACCCAACTGGAGTATTCGATAATAGTAATTTTTGAACGTATGAAATTTTCCGTATGACATGTTGACATGATCGCGTTCCCAGTTGGCCGCCGGCAACAACAGTCAGTGTTATTAGTATGTCTTCTTCGTCTGGTGTCGCCGACCAATCAGCCGCCGAACCGGACGCAATGATACAGGATAACATAGCCGTAGCGGCGTACGCCCCGCCGTCCGGTTACTCGTAAGTAGTCACCATTCTTGTTTAAAGTTCAGACAAAACCCTTGTACGAGGAAAACGCGCCCAAGTAAACACCTTCCCCCGATTTGACCGATTTGATTCTGATACTAAACGCCTTTAAACTTAAAATTAGTGGCTTTTCAAAATACCTACACTCGATTTTTCGATTTGTCGAAATAAAAATAAATGTAGCGCTAATTAAAAATGTTAAAGTTTTTAGAATCACAAGCACCCACCCACCATCCTTGATCTTTACCAACGTCGGTAATGACGAGGACTGAGGAGCGGTTATGATTATAGTTTTTCCAAACCCCGATTTCTTAATTTCTATAGGACTAGAGGACCAAGGCAACGGCCAGCTTTTTTTTTAACGAAACGCGCCTTAAAAACGATACTATTATGGCCAAACGGCATGATTGTAAAAAAATCTAAATTATATGTGTGCATAAAACTATTATTAAAAATTTTCAATTTTTACCTCATAATAATAACATATCAATGTACTACATAAGTAAACAAAATTCAAACGTTGATATGGCATTCACGTTTTCACCATTTCATTACAATAAGCCCGCACTTGACCATAGTGAACTGTATTGAATCTTTTGTCAAAACAGCCGGTTGTCCAACAATTGAATAATATATTAATGGCGAATTCAGTTGATCATATTTCTATGTTTTTTTTTTTACAAATGACGCCCGTCAGTCTGGCGTAATGCGCGGGCATCATGTTACATTCCACCGCAAATCGTTTATACGTTATAGCCAGAGGGGGAAATAACACCAAAGCGGTATTTTATTATATAAAAACTTAAGTAACGATAAACAAAAACAATATCTCTATAAACACTCATGTCCCAAATTTTGAAATCTAAGACAAACGATAGACCGCGCAAAACGCGGTTAATAAAATAAGAGCTATTAAAATATTAACGTTAAATTTACTATTAATTTCTCGGAGTCAACAATTACCATTGACACAAACAAAAAGTAATATTGACGATTTATTGATCCGAAAGAACTTGAAAGATCCTTGTCTTGGTTGGCGAAAAATTGTATTTCACGTTTAAAAAAAATTGTCTACGGCTGATGCGGAGGACAAACGGACGATTCATAATAATAATTGTACACATCGCAGCCGATAGATAACCGTTTCATTTTTATTTTTTTTTCCACTCTTCGAATGAAAATAAATTTCAAATTTGTAAGAAAATGTCTCCAAAGAGTTGTTTTTAACGCCGAGCCAAGGACGAACTCGTACCAGAACTAATCAACCTCACGTGAAATTTTTTTTTTTAATCTAGCAGTTAGTTAAAAGTGCGGTTTTTTATACATATATGTATATTTATTAATGAGAAACGATTGTGACGTATTTTTTTTTCTCCGTTTTTATTGCTGCCGTTAAGATAATTTTATTAAAAATAATTTTTAAAAAAAAACTCAAGAGTCGTCCAACCATCGCATATGGCGCGGCGCAGCTTCCATTGGCACGTGCTGATTTATAATCAAAAACCCGTGAAACCGCGACTTAGGTACGACACATGCATCGCCCGTTTGATCCAACAAACGTATAAATACTGTTGTGTCGTTTCCTCTATAACAGATTATTAGCAAGAAAAGTATCCAATTTTTTTTCACCTCTGCTCTATTACCAGTAAAAACGCACGTGCTAACAATAATGTGTCTCTACCAGCCCAGACCGTGCAGACAGTATTACGGTCACATATTATTATTCTTATAATTTGTAATATATTCGCTAAGTCACCTTCGGTAATAGCCAACCGATGTACTCGTTACGGTCGATTTTCGATGTATACATAATTTGCCATACATCATGTTGGTATTAGGTATATACACTAATTCCGACCCATATATTATTATTTATACCAACTGTACGGCTAAAATTCATCAATCGCCGTTCAGACTCGGTCACTATTATAATATTATTTATAGTCAAACCGCCCAATCTATGCTAACGACAACCCAATGCAAAGCCTATGCGATAGATGCCTGGTGAACCTACATGTACATAAAGGGATAAAGTGTTGGCTTGGAAATAGCTAAAAAAAATCCTAGTGATACCTTGAGCTTAATATTTGTTAAGAGTTCGATTTAAAAATAATTTAAATTGATACTTGTGTTAATATTAGAATTGATCAAGAGGAGGCTTGGGATTCTAAAAACCATAAAACTTAAAATCAATGCTACATTCATTTTTCTTCCAACAAATCTCTTATTAAAAAAATAAAATTAAGTATGTACTAATGTAGCGCCTTACGAAAAAAAATGTGACGAGAACCAAAAAAGTACCAAGTGACCAACATAATATCACCCGTGAGAAAAAACATTGAGAATACAATTTTTATTTTGCTCTCCTGTAAAATTGTTTAAAATCCCTGGTATTCGTTCGATTTTCACCACTTCAATTATAATCTATAATTTATTGTTAACGTTATGAACACAGTACACACGACTCAACGAGTGTTCGTTTCATTAATAGTTTCAAGTTGATTAATTTAATTAAATAATTTATTCCATTTTTTTTTTTTACTCGAGTGCATTTTAATCGGTCATTTCAAAAACCACGTAAGCCGTTAAATTGAAATTTTTCAATAAAAACAAATTTCTCCGGAAATTTTTTCACGCTTTTGTGAATTTATTTTTAGTATCTGTTATTCATAATTCATAGTTGTAAAACATATTTGACTTGTTTTGGTTTTGCGAGGAATAACAACTATAAAAAACATTTTTAAATATAGGTAAAAATATAATAAGTGTAAAAAAAAAGGCAATATAATTAAAAACTAAATTATCATTGCTCAGCTGTTGTTATCTGCCTTAAAACGGTAGAAGAATTACGAGGATAAGGTAAACACATGCAGTAGCTATCTGAATTGTGCACTTCCCGTTTAAACATAACAGCTGTAGCTTGTTGTACTTAACGTCCTGGCCGACTTGGTTTTTAATTTTTTTAACTCATACCTACGCAGTTGCGCATATTTTTTTTCTAACCGGTGGCCTATGCTATAGTAGAAACCGGCCGCGGTTTTTTGGTTTTATCAAGAAAAGTAGAAAATAATTAAAAGAGTGTATAACGATACACGACGGCGCGGCGGAGGCATCGGCCGGGAGTATTGTGTTGACTTTTGACCTTAATCACAAAAAAAAAAACCAGATAACTATCCAGTAATTAGGCCATATAACATGTATACGTCATGTGTTTGTGTGTGTGTAAGATTGATATAGGCCTTTCGTACCCTTTCGTTGGCTTGGTCCCGGCTGTTCCTTATCTTCAAATCGCGATGCGTCATTTAGAAAAATAATAAACCATTAATGTTGCATGCGGGTACAGCACAAACTTACCTGCATGTATTTTGCTTCGATTTGTGATCAGTTTACAGACATAACCGAGCGCACCCGTGGTGGGTTATTATTCGGTAAGGTTAATTTCAAACGCTTAAACATCGCACTCTCAGAACATTAGTGTATTAACTAAAAAAGTATTACACGTGAACTCTTAAGGTAACAATCGCGTTCCTTAACCATTGTGTAGCAGTTATAGTTTTGTTAAAAATGAACAAGTTAAGACATATAAATAAACATATATTTGTAAAATAGTCAAAAAATGTAAGTATACTATATTGTGGAAAATGAAATCGTCAAAGGCGATTATTTCGAAGTATGATATTTTGATTTACTTCATTACCGTTCTCGGACAGTGCGATATATCGTTATTTTCCGACAGGCATATAAGAAAGAATGTGTGTTTGCGGTGGAAATTATAATAATTAAGATGTTCATTTATAATTTATATTTCAAACGGTTTTAAGCGCGTTCCCACGAAATGTATGGCACTCGGGGTTTCTCGTTATATTATGTTTGAAGAGGAAGTACAAATTTTATATGGAACACCGGATGCGACGTGGTCAGGTGAAATTCGAAAATCAACATCGAGGGCGTTAAACCCATATAGATAGAGCGCATGGGCGAATCATTTTTACTGAAATATATTATACACACATTTTCTACTTAGAGACACCCGCATGACCATATAATTTATTTTTAATTTCAAGCTCATGTTCTTTTTTTGTTGTTGAAATATTTAAAGACTGTTCGTATACGTCGTAGTCAATAACTATCCTTGGACGGACAAGCGACTTATAGTTACAGTTTGGAATTTAAGTACAAACAAAAATACTGTTATTCGTAGTTCTATTAATACTGAATATCGAATAAAACATATCAGCATCGTACAATTTTTTTTGGTGAGGAGTACGTGGTCCTCTCTTCTTCCGGTTTATCTATCCATGTCTTGTAGCTTAATCTTGCTCCAGGTCATTCCTGTACCGTTTTATCACAAAGACCGCTTTGGTATTTTTTTCTTGTTCTGCATTTAATCCGAAAATAAAAAACTTTTGCAATTCGTTTTTTTTTGATAAATTTCGCAACTGGTCTGTTGGACAACGCACATGGGTGTGTATTATTATTATTATTATTATTATAATACTCGATATTCAGCGATACGTCATGTCGAAACGTCGCACACAGTTAATCTGTCGGGCGGTTAGGTATTATAGCTATACAAGTATTTTGTATTTATATATATATATATATATATATATACACCTATACGGACTATGGTGTGCGGCTTATACGGTCGGACACCGTTTTTTTACACGTGTAAACTGAACAACACAAACATATTGGAGCGAAAACGTATACATGTAATAATTTTCATTGGTTATTAAGTTATGTAAATGCGGTGCACGATAATTTTACGTTTCGTTCACGGACACGGAGCGCACATTTCCACGCGTTTTACCGGTCGGTTTATGGCGTTTTTCTCGCTCGCCGTCCGTGCTGATATTTAGCCGGATGAAAAAAAAACACACACAAACACACATAGAAGGTATTGTATATACATACATGTAATAACACTACTATAATAGGTGTCTTAAAAACAAACGAAATAAGTACAAAAATGTATTACCGATGTTGATACA